AAGAAATGCTAATTGAACTCTGACTAAAGAACGGCAATGATAAACGGGATCTACAGGGTTTATTATTATTGAAGTTCTATCATATTTATATGTATGGGCAAAACAAGAATAGAGGTGGAAATTTTTTGTTAGTATGTCTACATACAAAGACGTCCACTCGGGCCTCAGCATACAGTCAGTGCATTTGTGCTCGTCTTCATGTTGATTGTTCTCTGCCTGCCCAATACGATGGTGTGTGAAGTGACAACGCTTTTCTGTATCCAGTCAGTGATTATACAGGGTTATTTTTCAGCTCATTGTGGGTGACTATGTCCTGACAATACTGGTCCAGCCGCTTCACTGTTGCACCTTCGCATACAGCGACGGTTCAGACCACGTCCATGTGCAGATATTCAGACCAGGAAGTTACTGATATGGTAATATTTGTCATAAACACTGCATATCCAGATAAGACACACACTAACTGAGTGTCAAACATTCACTCTTCAAAGATATCAGAACGTGAAATTCTTCTTAGTTTTCCGTAAGATCGTATTCAGCATTCCTTGTTAATATATTCCTGGTTGACTGTTTGAGTGATATTGTTCAACAATGACCGTCTCCATATTCTCTTACACCGTTTGTTTTAGACCGTATATGTCATCACGTGTTTCTTTCCGAGAACAACCACCTGGTTGTGATAAGACAGCGACATTCTTATCATTAAAGTTTTACGTTGACGAGATATTTCATTGAAATATGGCTGTGTTCCGATTTGTCATTTATGAACCTCGTCATTCTGCATATGAAAGCTCTGTTCATTTTAACAATACAATCACTATTACTACATTTAACAATAATTACTGTACCTAGTGTTGGGATTCGGAACCAAATCTACTACCGATTATCGGAGGACATGTGGTGTACGATTATCGTGTATAATGGGAATATATACATTTTTAATGTAATCACCAATTTTACGGGTTTTCCCCAGTTTTTGTTTTCTAATCAATGTTTTATCATGTAGATTTATAACTAATAATGTCACGCAATGAAATGCACGCATGCAAGAAAGACACTGGAATTGTAGTTAAACAATAAAAGTGGTTAAAATATTACAATGTGCATAGCTTCACGCTGTTGAGCGCATGTTTGCCGCGTGAAAACAGAAAACGACTGGAATTGAGATTCGTGTGTTCATATATTACCAGCAGCACCAAGAACGCTGCCAGAGGGGTATAATTTTATCCTACAAGGTTTCTTTGTTTTGCTCATCCGGGTCGGATTCGATCATTAAAATCAAATGTAAGCACATCAAGAACTCATTGTTGTATCATTCAGCTTTACTGCCCTATACAGGTCAGAACTAATTCCCAGTGTCAATTTTGAATGCGTTCAATACAGAACATGCCAGTCAGACCCCGGATCGACATACAGTCCCAGTTGTCTCGGTACTCAATAAACAGCATACCTTGGTAACACCAGAAACCTGTGATCATGGCTTGATAATGCTTGACACATCCATTGCTTGTGGGTTTTTGATCAAAGTACTAAACGTCTGATACCTGCATCGTGGACTACGCTGTCACATTACGTTGATACGCCGTGAATTAGCGGACTTATGTTCAAAGCGGCGTAAAACTAAACTCACCCACGCAATGCAAATTAATACTGATCCTTATCACGTCAAGGAGTCTTATATATTGGTGTAATGTTTCTGCAAGACTGCTTGAACTTTATGCAAAGGAAGCATAATTATGCTTTTGTTTATTTATCGTGATATATAACTTGTAATGAAGAGCTTATATTCAACAAATCGTGACCACCTTTGTTCTTTATGCGTCAAAGCCTAGTTTAATGCATCCTCGGTCACATAGCAGGATAAGTCCTCTTTATCCTTCTACAAATTCTAAAGGCGATGCCCTGGGATTCGAATTGTTATTTAACACCATTCATTCAGCTCACTCGACTTCAATAATTTACACGCTGAACCCTAAACCTAAATCCCCAGGTAACTCCTAGTTGCGCATATAAAAAGGAAACGTAATCCTTACTGTAGTATTTATATTCCCAAACATCGTTGCATGGCTTTGTGTTCAAGAGTTAACTTACCTGTACATTGTCGATTTGAGAATACTCAATGCGGCCCGGTGTATTTTGAACAGACTTTATGCAAGGAATGCGACAAAGGGTTGAACGCTGTTAGCTGACAAAAATGATACCAAATTCTGTTCACAGCGACTCACAAACTCAGCTATTATGTTACTGATACCATATCTTAACACTGACATCGAAAGACAGTATAATAACTAGCAATATATCAGAAAATGTTTTTAAAAAAAAGGGAATATATGATTGTCAGATCACGATACAAAAGTGAAAACGGGAGCATAGTGAGTGAGTGAGTTTAGGTTTACGCCGCACTCAGTAATATTCCAGCTATACGGCGGCGGTCTGTAAAGAATCGAGCCTGGACAAGACAATCCAGTGATTAACAGCATGAGCATCGACCTGCGCAATTGGAAACCGATGGCATGTGTCAACCAAGTCATCGAGCCTGACCAACCGATCCCGTTGGTCGCCTCTTACGACAAGCATTGGTTACTGAAGATCAATATTATTACCCGGAACACGGGTGAAAACGGAAGTATAGATCAGCAGCTAGAAAGATAAGGTCACCATGCTGGGGCCATTAGAACTTAGAGTAGCTCTGTTTCCGTCAGGGTTTACAGAATGAAACGATCAACACACAGCATGTGTAACTCCAAATAAAACAACTCACCAATATTGAGCAAATGGATAATGTTTTATGAAGCTTCTCTGGCTATCTACCGAGTCTACAGGTATTCGTGCATCTGAATTAACTTAGTCCATTGGGATATCTTAATACAAATCAAAATTCTCTTCGATCTACAGGGCATAAACAATGCAGCAATGGAGCTAACGTGCGTATAGCAGCCAAGAGTGCACAGGGAATTCACCGAACTCTTCTAAGTGGCCTCGAGATGGTGTATTTTCTGGTATCTTCTTTCACTAAACGACCAGACACTCGGATACAGAACACATTGGCATCTCCTGTCACCGATAAACTGAACGACCAGACTCTCGGATACAGAACACATTGACATCTTCTGTCACCGATAAACTGGACGACCAGAGACTCAGATACAGAAGACATTGACATCTTCTGTCACCGATAAACTGGACGACGAGAGACTCGGATACAGAATCGTGTGTCATTTACATCAACCAGTCTCGGATACAGAACGATAAACTGGACAATAAACCAAACTCTCGGATACAGAACACGACATCGTGTGTCACCGATAAACTCGGAATGTCACTGATTGACACTGGATAAACTGGACAACCAGACTCTCGGATACAGAACACATTGACATCGTGTGTCACTGATAAACCGGACAACCAGACTCTCGGATACAGAACACATTGACATCGTGTGTCACTGATAAACTGGACAACCAGACTCGTCTGTCACCGATAAACTGCACAACCAGACTCTCGGATATTGACATCGTGTGTCACCGATCAACTGAACAACCAGAATCTCGGATAAACTGGACACAACCAGACTCTCGGATACAGAACACATTGACATCTGTCATATTGGACATCGTGTCGGATACACTGATAAACTGGTGTCACTGATAAACCAGACTATCGGTACAGAACTCATTGATATCTCCTGTCACCGATAAACTGGACGACATGCAGTTACGTATTATCTCCTCTATAGTTGTCATACAGGCCTGTCAATATGTGACCGGGGTCGTGCTACTTTCCATGATGACGTCATCTTATACTGGCTGTAAAGCCTTGTGTGTGTCTACCTGACCCAGTGTGCCGGGTACAGATGGGGGTGACAGGAAGGGAGTGTACCCTGACCTCCATCCCACACGGCGACCATACCAGAGATGTTTTCCTCAGGACCGATGGGTCAAGCCACTCCATCATCGGTAACGTCCAAGTGAGTGTGAAGTTACGCTGCAACATGCTTAGCAGATCATGATATCGATAGATTAGCAGTTCTAATGTTTCCAAGTTCACACACCTGAAGCATCTCTTTTGTCTACGGATAATTCAGTGTTGATTAAATTGTAATAAGTTGCTGTCAACGAATAAAACTATAGAGACCATGGTCCCTAGTATGGTGATCTACCTTCAGTTGCTGGTAATCTATAGCCTGTTTATATATTGTTTTCGCATCTTTAGTTTAAATTGTTTACATTTAATCACTCGGTTTAAATTTATATCTGTGATAATCTAGTTTTACAGTTCTTTGTTGACAGGTGTTTGTAATTTACTTTTAATTGTTATAAATCTATAACTTGATTTAGTCACGATATGACTAAAATATTGTCCATGTGATTTAAAATCTTAACTCACTCACTCAAAGTCACTCAAAGAAATAGGTTAGCTGTTTAATACGTGTTGACAGAACTCATGACCTGTACCCTGCAATGTGTGCAAATTATATCGTATTTGGGCACACTGCCATAACACTATTCAGACCTCTGTTCTCTAAACAAATCCTTTGTTATCAGTGTATGCGGTTGTTATGGTGTTGTTGTTTTCTGGGAATAGTACAATATCTATTTTTTGGACATTTTTGTTATTATTTAGATACTTTCCACACGCATATGTGAAGACCGTCCATGTAGAGAAGGGGAAGTGTGCGTGCCAGTAACGTCTGGCACAGCTCACATATGTCTGATGGCACCGCCGGGTGACATGACGACGTCCACATCTACCCAAACTTCATATTCATCCCCGCCTACGTCAGTTAGTGTTTCAAACACGCCTGCAACTGATCTCTCTGTCGCAACTTCGTCGACTACAACAGAACACACTACTGTCGTCACGACTGTTGACGCTACTACAATCCCAGATGGAATTACTTCACTCACTTCTGCGGTATCAGTTATAACCTCTACTACTCCTACTACTACAACCACTACTACAACTCCTACTACTACAACTACTACTAGAACTCCTACAACTTTTACTCATACAACGTTTACTACTACTACTACTACTGATACTACTACTACTACTACCACCACCACCACCACCACCACCGCTACTACTACAACGACGACAACAACAACTACTACTGCCCCTGCAACAACCGCTGCAACAGGTGAGTTCAGATGAACAGACTGTATTCCATCCTAAAAATACTGAATACAAGGAACTTACAGTTTCTTACAAACCATTATTCTCCAATTTCGTTCTTTTTTGCCACGAATGCTTTGCTTGAAATTTCAATGTAGGTTCAAGTTCATGGCCCAGCTCCAGGATATTGAACTAAAAGTATTTAGGTAAAGGTATGTCACAATGCCAGAAACCGCTGAGAAGAGCCAAGACAATGTCAGCAACTGTATACTGCTCCATCTTTCAGACATAGGAAACCAGTGATGATATAGTTTTAAACATAGGGTGTATAGTTATCCAATAGTTAACAACCATTGACATACAATACCACATACAATAAGAAAAAACTATTTTTATTCAAAAGATTTGTCATTAGGAAAAGAGTTTTTATTGTTAGCTGCAATTGCAGATTAGGCGCAGATAATATCTCCTAATCTACTGTTGATACAAATACATACTGACAAACTTATTGGTTGGTGGCGTGTGCACCTCAACCTTATAAACAGGCTGAATTTGTCTCTCAGGTGAAATTTCTCTCTATATATACACTTGGGTTATTCAAGATAACTTTCAGCCAATGATACTTAGTATCTATGTATTTTGGCAAATCCAAGTGATCAATGAACATAGCTGAAGCAAATTAGGAGCCACGTGACCATGTGGGTAATCCGAAATAATTGTCACGCTTTACTTCCCCAGTTAATGCGGAAATCGATTTTTCTGTAAATCTCTACTTTACACATATTCTGTGTTTTCACTGATCAAAACGTTAATAAACTCTTGTAAACACTTTCGATTCAAGACAATTTTACACGTAATAGAGCACACTTGTACCAGTTCAGTGCATAATTTCGATTTGCAGAATCGGAGAATCCATTCCATTTTAGTAACACCAATAGACGTTCCTAGAATTTAGCGAAGCGTGTTCAGTAACAGTACCGCCAGTGCTAGGCGCTGAGTGTACATGTTCAATGTAGACCCATTGCCATCCGCCATAAAATAAAAGCAATATGTATGACCATGCTTCCTCCTCCCGTCAATCGTACTTCATTTCCAGACATGACTAGACATGATAAAGACCTTTGATATGAAATGTCATATACTGGAGATGAGAGTACTGTATTTGCGATGTCATTACCGATCTCTAATACTTCAACTTCAACTTCTTTATTCTCCTTCAACCACCTAGTGGCGGTACAAGAGTACAAGAGCGTCTGGTTACATAGACAAAGACAAGATGGGGCACAGTTAACATTTAAAGTGTGTTAGTATACTATTAATAAACGTCGATAGCTTATTTAATTCTGCTGTTTTCTTGGTACACATTAGTTGCTTGAAGGTAACCAGATTTTTTTACATTTAAGATATTTCGAAGGGATACACTTTAGTCTACTATCATTAAAGTAACCACATCTCAGTAAATAATTAAGTTCATCAGCTATTGTGGGGTAGTTGCATAACTTACACGTTCTATTTTCTCTGATTATGCCCTCCCAGCGGCCAATCTCTATCAGTAGAAGGTGGTTAATTCTTCTGATTTCAAAATTGGGGTATAAATATTGGTTGGAAGAAAAAATTAAAGTTCAAATGTTATGGGGTCTTTTTATAGTCTTGTAATATAGCGCCTTTGGGCCATTATTCATTAAAGACCACCAACTCTGAATAAATTGGTCTTTTAAAACTAGTTCTACCTTTCAGGCCAGCCATTCAGTGTTAACACATTCTGGATTTCTGAAATATCACTAAGACCTAAATGAATTTCTAATGCAATCGATAAAAAGTAACCACTTATTATGATAGTCATAGTGTTGTTTTGTAGTGTGAAATAATTTAACGTTTGTTATTTTAGGTACAACAAGAGTGTGCCAATAATAAATCAATCGCTCAATCGCTCAATTCTCAGAGGGTACCTTCCCGTTTCTCAGTATACCTTGTAAATTGGGGTAGAAGCAAGTCTCTAATGGACTGAGGAATGGTCATCGTGATGCTCTTAAAATCACCTTCAGCCAAACATTCATCTCACGTCCTTCTCACTAAATTTCTTAATTTACTCAGGTGCCTCCAACGTTGCCTCCAGTTGTGCTCCCGGAATTCATTGGAAATTAAAAATACATTCCAAGTATATGCAATAAATACAGGTGTAAAGTAACTTATTTTTAAAAAAAAATAGACATGTACACAACAGTTATTCAGATTGGTTCATTTTCTAAGATGCGTACTAAATGTCATCCAAAATGTATTAAAGTTGTTTCACAATTTGGTGAAGCCCAATCAATGTCCTAAAGACTTTATCTTTGGCAAACTTCTGCGCAGTAAACAGTAAGAACTGTTTCAAAATAACCATCACGAAATCGTGAACAATGTGTCCACAAAATCAACATCTTACTGAATAAATATATCTCATTATTCATCCTAGTTATAGGAATATATCAACTGAGTTTTCATAGACAAACTGGACCAAACATACAACCAGTCTTGTGATATTGGCGACCCCTCCTCTACCGTCCACATAAGCTGACCATGTGTCTGTTCTCTCTTGGAGGCATGTGTGTGTGTGTGTGTGTGTGTGTGTGTGTGTGTTGTGTGTGTGTGTGTGTGTGTGTGTGTGTGTGTGTGTGTGTGTGTGTGTGTGTGTGTGTGTGAACTGTGTTCCCTTTTCGCCCACTCGTGTTGGCCCCTGTGTGCACGAGCATAACATACTGTTCATGCATGATGTGGGATTTCGTAGTGATGAGATGTTGCTTCCAGATGCACCCCAGTATTGTAAATGTGGAAGTTCCCATGTGTCTTGTTGGAGGTATATTATAAATACAAGTGGTATGTTTAGTCACATTAGCAACATAAAAACCCTCTGTTGGAAGCGCTGCATCCGCAGCTATATCACCACATTCATCAATATGCAGAAAGCTCACACAGATAAATGTAAAGCAATGATAAACGTTTTTTTCAGCATGTATGTTCCATACCTCCTTGCAGGAAACATGAAATGTCACGCTTTTTCACAAGTGGTATCTCGTGGTTGGTACGTACAAAGTTTTGTTCGAGACAGTAAAATCCAAATTAACATGATATATTCACTGGTATGAATCTCCCGCACACAAGGACACAACGTCTAGTGTACGTAAGCATGCATTTCGTCTTATATTCAGTCACGTACATTGGATGCTACACGGACAACAGGAACAGACTGCTGCCAAATGCAAAAACCATAAACCGAGGTTTGACGACTGAACGCTGTTTCCTGCACTGCCACGGCAAAGGATACAGATATTTTGGAACGCAAGTAAGACTGTGTATTTGATGTGATATATAAACATGATGGCGAATCGTTGTAAAAAAAAAAATGTCTTGCAAGGAATGAAAAACCAGCAGTCCTTGGGTTTTCCACAATCAGTACGATTTCAAAGGTTGTCCATAGGACAGCCATGGGTCTATCACATTGTAACCAGAATGCATGGGTTGATGAAAGAACATTCATTGAAAGTAAATACTTAACTTACGAGATGTACTCCTTTCACGATGATGGAGGTTCGATGAATAGAACTTCCCTTCCTGCCCTTCTGTGTCATCATGCACAGGACTTTCGCCAAAATGCATGTATATTCGTGGTTCTTCGCCAAGGCCAGAAGGGTAAACCAGCACATTCAAATCAGCAACTACGCTAGTTTGCTCTCACCGGAAATTTCATGACTTCCGGTTTCATCTCTAACTCGCATCTTGTGCCTTATAGTCCTCACAGAACTAATATTTGAATGCGGCAGTAAGTAGCAGTTATTTGAAACAGCCTGACTGCTTCAAGACTTCTTCTTTGCCTTAATTAATGGTTGAAGTATGTTTACTGACGTTATAGGCTTGTCAAATAAAGGGCACAATTTGAAAAATCAACCCCACTGATCTCACGCCACAGTACGTATTCATGCGTATGAATTCAGTGCGCACATTGGTGTTTTAATTCGTACGTCACTGTTACAACCGACCACGTTTTTAATTATTGAAATTTGTGAACGTATCATATTGATCCTGCAATGGTGTTCTTTCCAAAAGGATGGTGTTGTTCAGCCAGCCAACACCTGTATTATTGTTATTATTGCCCAGGCTACACCTAAGAAAAGTCCGGACGTTGATCCGAGTCTTGACGGGCCTCTGTTGTTTGCTACCAGTGAGGGCACTGCAGGAATGATGCGAAATATGCACACTCCAAACACGAACATAGTCTGTAATTCCAAGCCTGACTATTCAACTATTTCTTTTTCTGCTGGAGTATCCAATCATGTAGAAGCCCCTGCCTTATTTTCTGCCAGATTCACCTAACATGGGTTACAGTTGTTTCATCTAACAAACAAAAGAACGGAAATTATAAATTTGGATTAAAACAGTAGAACAGCTGCAAAACTACCTACCAAATGAGGCCTCTCCTTCAGACGTACCTGTAGAGGACCATAACGCCTTTGGTCCTCTTTAGATGGAGATGACTCCATCTCCATCTCAACACGATCCACCTAACAGTAACCCAAAGACGTCACGTTCACATAATATACCACTTGTGGATCCACAACCTATTTCAATACAACTGTAGATGTCTTAATAATAATTCCAATAAAATAGGTTTGATACGAAATTGTAAATCGCAGGATTTTTCTCTCGAATCTGAGCATCCCTTCACTCGTCCGAGTGATAAACTTACTGGATATTCTTCTGTCTTGGTCAGGCAAGCATGCACAACAGCAATTTTCCAATTACAAGCTGTTGCTGTCCAAGTAACGTGTGTATTTTATGTTCACTCACCCTTACTCCTTTTTCAATCATAGAATATCTCAAAATCCGGTAAAAACTAGAACGGTACACGTTAATGATTACACTGTACTCAACTTTATCATCTTTTGTTATTTTTATACCCTTCAGTAGAAAAAAGTTGTTTAAGACACTATCGTGTTTTTTAAATAAAGTTCTAGATTCCTAGTTTTGGCTTATTTTGGAATGCATCTTTCTCAGTACAGACAAACGCACAGTAATATTTTTTAAGTATAAGTATGGACAAGCGGACATTTTCTTCCTTCCTGGGGTAATACTGTTATCATTCCCTACACTATGACTAATCAGTACCATACTCATCCTTCGAACGCACAGTAATATTTTTAAGTATAAGTATAAGTATGGACAAGCGGACATGTTCTTCCTTCCTGGGGTAATACTGTTATCATTCCCTACACTATGATTAATCAGTACCATACTCATCCTTCCAATCACCGTCTTATAATTGTAAAACCATGAAACACATGATCACTCATCTATTAATCTGGTATAAATGATCAATATATGACGTGTTGTATATTTGCCAGTGAATGAACCGAAAAATGACAACGAAATTAGAATGTGTGCCGAAACGTCGTCTCTACAAAATAAAGAAGTTATATGTACATTAAAAATGTGTCCTAATTCTTCATCTCCTCAACTCTTATATTGCCAATCAAGAGTATATTCTGAACAAGCGAAATAGGACGAATTCATTAGAAACTAAAACTGAATTAAATTAAATTTTACCACAATACTCGGATGTCGACTTCATATACTTATACTATATGTAAACAGCTTTCTGTTTTCATTAACAAAGCTACGAACAATTCATTATTTCCCTTAAACCATTATATCTGTTCTCTTGCAGAACGGTAGAGAATGTTACTGTGGAAACACCATCAAGGATGGATACGCGATGGTATCAGATGCTCAATGTTCATCAAACTGCGCTGGGGATCCAGGGACTAAGTGTGGGGGTGTATGGAAGATCTCAATCTATGAAATCCTTGTTTACACATAGATTACAAGCACTTCTTTTCCGACTGCTCGACCACATCACTTGTTCCAGCACGGAAAACGTCGTCTATGGCAACATAAGTCAGCAAACCATCATGATACAAGCTGTATCTAAGCTTTCAATTCACACTTGCGTTAGGTATAATATTAAACGCATGTTTGCAAAAAGTTGAAATCGATAGAGGAACAATGGACTGAAAGTAGGTTCGTTTCGTTTCCAATTCTATTTTACATCGATTAACTGCAGACAGTAGGCTTATTTCCTGCATTGTGTTAACTCATGTGACATATTTGATATAGCCCAGGTATCCTGCATGTATTTACCTTCACCATGTCTATCATGCACGGAGTCTCCAGTCCTGCAAGTGCTGAATACTCTTGTTTCCGTTGTTTTTAATGTAAAATGAGTATACAGTTTTTCAATCGTAAGTCCTACTTTAATTATATGCACATTGACTTGATCGTTGGTTGTTGCCCTGTTGTCTGGGATCCGAATTTATTTGTTTACACAATAACAGCGATAGTTATGCCGTTGTTTCCCCAGGGAAGCGAGGGCACTTGGATGTAGTATGATCTAACAAAAGATCACCCGAGAAGGAGCTGATAACGTTGACATGTGTAGCTGTAAGTTTCCGAGCGTTACGTTACAAGTATGTCTTGTATCTGGGCCCACTTGCACAATGCGATTTAAGCGCCACGACTATCTTAAGCCAATGTTGGAGAATGGGAGTTACAATCATTGTAGTGCTAAGATCGTTGTGTGCAAGTGAGCCCTGGTAAATAAGTCCAAATGTAGAATGAATGAATATGTGGGCTGGCGCTACTGACGGCCTGGAGAAATGAATGTTGGGTAATTCTTCTTAACTATTCAATACACTGTTTGACATAAATCCCTGATGGAATAGGAAATAATTATATTAGGCTTTGAATTGCATATCACTCTTTTATTATACTTTGTTACGTTTCAGAGTCTCCACGTAAAGCAATCAGCCATTATATAGACAGTTAATGATCCCGTTGTTTTGGCTATGTACAACAAAATGAATAATTCACTGCCTCATTCAAGTGGCTTTTATTGTCCTCTCTGTCTTTCAAAACCATGAAACGACGAATGTTATTCGTGGTTTTATTATTCATGTATTGCCTCTCCCACTCCACTATACAGTATATAACGTCTCTGGGGAAAACAGATGTTTCAGTGTTGTATGTAGACTTGTTTTGAGGAAGGTTGGCGACATTCGAGAACGATATATATGTACGGATACCTCAGTAATTACTTGAGTGCCGGCTAGAGCTATAACTGGTGCATACATGGATTCGTAATTAGGTACCAGCTGTTTCATATTTTGTGGATTGAAATTTTTCAGCTGCTACACATGCAAACAAAGATAGTAACTATTGTGTCGAACTTACCGCTGTCTCGAAGCAATAGCTTGGTCCCTGCGGGTTCCTATTCAGGCATCATGTAGCGATTGAGTCGTCGACCCTAGGATAACTCGATAACTTGTTTTACTTTGAAACTATGAGCCTATTTTGTAAACGTCTTCCTAAAAAGTATTATTTGCGAAAACATTTTAACAGTCTAAAACATGATCAAAATGTCCAATGATACCCTACTATATCCGCCATAAAGCTGGAATATTGCTGAGTGCGGCGTAAAACTAAACTCACCCTACTATATTGTTTTCTTTGAAATCAAAGTGTCGTTCCTCCATCCAAAATACAATGGTCTATAACTCCGCGCCAGATCAAATACGAAAGGTGAACCTGAAGACCAACCTGTAAAGTTGTGCTTCGACATCGACTGAGAAACTGCATAACACGAATGGATTTGCTTGTCTGCCAGCGCTTTATGCTTGGTAACCGTTAGGATCCGGGTTAGAATTTGTCTTCAGTAACTCAAGCTTGTCGTAAGAGGCGACTGACGGGATCTGGTGGTCAGGCTCGCTTTACGTGGTTGACACTTGTTATCGTATCCCAAGTGCGTAGATCGATGCCCATGTTGTTGATCACTGGATTGTCTTGTTCAGATTCAAATATTTCAAAACCGCCGCCATATAGCTTGGATATTGAGTGGCGTTAAACAACAAACCAATCATATTTGGTTTATCTCCCTCGCAGTCATTGACCTGCATTTTGCTGAGATTTTATGGCTCTTGGTCAAAATAATTATGATACGCATCTTCCATGTTACAGGAGGCTGAAAGTAATGTGGACCGAGGAAACCAGTGGTTGAAAGCATGACCACTACTCACACTTGCTGTGGAAACAAATTTAAACTGTTAAATAGCAATAAACGTATGTTGGAATTCTGGCTCACCCCGATTATGATTTAAACAAGGGGCTAATGTCTAAGATCTCCTCCCATATCAACAAGGCACTCCGTGATGTAACTGAAATACTGACCAAAGCGGCATTAAAACAAACCATTGACTCACGTGTCCAACAATTTACTTCCTGGTATCACTTAGAGTATAGTCCGTTTGGCTGAAAAGCGGACCGATAAATTGCAATCTAGTTTGTTATACAAGGTTTTAATTTTAAGGACATAAATTCTGCAATAAAACTCACAGAGTTGGTCTGATGTTTGATTATTATCAGCGTTTCATTGAACTTCAGAGACACTCATCGGATACTAAGTTGGACCCTGTGCGTACCCTTCATTGTTACACTGACCGTACAAAAGGGCAAAGACAGTTAGTTGCAAGGAAACCAGTCCTTATGAGTTTACGTCCGCCGTTCAACGCTATAACGGCTGCTACAGTGGGACATATTCTGGAGACTGGTATTCAGTTGGCTGGTTTAGGTGGTCGTGGCTTTTCTGCAAAATCCTATCGGCCAACAGTTGCAACACATGCAATAAAGAAGGGTGTTGATCCTAAGCCTGTTCAAACAATTGGACGGTGGAAGAGGTCTGAGGTGTTCTACAGTACAACCAGGACTTATTGAGAATTTGAGATTGTATTTTTTTATAATTTTTTCACTCATTACTCACGTATTAAATGTGAATATTAACAGATTCAAAGACAGGTGAACAGTTAGTATTTTGTCAAGTCATCATGGGCAGCAATGCAGGCTTCAATGCGGCGGGGCATACTACTGATCAAAGAACTTAGAAAGTCGTGGTCCATGCTGTCCAAATATCGGACCACCTGTTCTTTCATTTCAGCAATATTTGTCAGATTTTTCTTATTGACACTTTCCTTCATAAGTCTCCAAACATTTTCTATTGGAATTTGGTCAGGGCTATAGCTTGGCCAATCTAATAATGTAATATTTTGGGTCCGAAACCAGGCCTGTCAATGCTTTGAACGATGTTTTGGGTCGTTGTCCTGCTGGAAAATCCAAAAATGTCCATAGAACACGTGAGCAGATGGAAGTAAATGTCCCTCGAGAATATCTGTGTACCGCTCACTGTTCATATTTCCTTCAAATTCACAGAAGGGCGTTGCCCCTAGCACAGATATGCTACCCAATATGTTAAATTGCGGACTGTACTGTGGGCGCTGATACAAAGGTTTTTCAGTTTGTTTGGTACAGAATTTCAGTGTATTAGGAAACATCCACACAAAACTCCCATCTGAGAAAATCACATTGTCCCAGTTAAAATTTCTATGCTGTAAGCACCAGTTCAACCTTCGCTCCTTTTGTGCAGGTTTCATGATCGGTGATGGTATTCCTCGAAATTTTCTGCCAACCCATTGCATGCAGCTCAGTTCTAGTTGTCTCCTTATAGACAGCCACTGTTCCTCTATCAATCATATCATGCCTGTTCTACTTGAGATCACTTTAGCTGATCTGATGTCCTTGTTATAATACTCTAAAATCAACTTCCTCTTCTCTAAATCATCCACACTGAGGATCACTGAAAATGTCGTCTGCTAGCAAGTAAACAAAGGGGGATAACTCTTCACAAACTAATGACAAAGGATTATCGGAGATGTCTCTCTTGAATGAAACCAAGCACTTGATAGCTGGTCAAGGCTGTTTATACTAGAAATCCAATTAAACATATTCCTAAAATTCTCAATAATTTCTGGTCATACTATATCAACATTACGTCAATACTAAGGTACAACAGGGTGTGGTCACTGATGTTTTATCACAGTTTACCCTCCAATGTTTTTGAAGGAATATGTTACTGTTAAACATGGTTAATGTTATACAGATTAATATGTTGAGATTATAAGCGTTGTGTATACCTTGAGTCATGTTAAACGTGCTGATGATTTGACTACCTTCACGTTTATGTGTATATGGCTGAATTGTTTCCGAGGTGACGTTAAATTTTTACTCACTCACTCACTCATGTTAATGTGAATCACTATGCTATATTTTATGGGAGCTTCACAGGAGTAGGTTAGTTGTTATTTCCCCTTGGCCATCATGAGTATTTAAGTGTTGCGCGGTATATTTCTGTGTTTTTTATTACAACCTTTTCCAGTGTATTTTATTGTATTCTTTGCACTCAGTAGTTGGGCATGTCGTGTAATAAAATTTATGTTAAAAATGTATCACTAGTTGTGTTGCTTCACAATGACAGATATTTGTTAAAATAGTTGTCATGTGAAGCGCCAACGTGTACTATTACACCGGTGACGTCACACTCTCGTGACGTCACGTTTTCATTCTTGCTCTGTTCACTCTTTTCCTAGATTGTTATTATGTTGCATTGTGCATGTTGTATATCACTATCATAAGGATGTATAGGAGACAACTATGCTGCGTGTAATATTACAGGGATGTGCATTTCGTGTAATAAAATTTATGTTAAAATTTTATCACTAGTTGTGTTGCTTCACAATGACAGATATTTGTTAAAATAACTGACCAAAGCGGCATTAAAAGAAACCATTGACTCACGTGTCCAACAATTGTAGGTGCATTATAGTCTGTTTGCCTCAAAAGCGGACCGATGAATTGCTATCTAGTTTGCTATGCAAGGTTTTTATTTTTATGACATAAAGTCTACGAAAAAGTCACATAGTTAGTCTGCTGTTTAGATTATTATCAGTGTTTCATTGGGTATTATATAGTTGTTAGTTTTCAAGATGGATTGCAAATCATCGGTCCGCTTTTGAACCAAACGGACTATAGTCTAAGTGATACCAGGAAGTAAATCCTATTGTAGATCGTGTGTTAAAGTAAACATTTACACGGACCAGGAAGTGCGTGCAACGGGCGTAACACTTAATGTGGAAAACCCTGATAGTTGAGCGTGATTTCCTCTGCATTATCTGAACACATATAACAAGGAAGTTATGTCACCTACATTAGGCCATTATGTTATCAGTAGGCCGTTGTAATAGAGTATGACGCCAGCTATGGATAGTTAGCTAGCGATATGTTGCATGTTGAGTGATAGAAGACTCCTTTCAACATGTGAGCTGTTAGTCTGTCTCACTGTTCCTACACAGAAGCACTTTTTTTTACATTCCACCAGCAAAATACAAAATTCTATATGAATCAAGTCTACATTTCCTCAATTTTAGGAATCTATGAGTTCAGTGCGACACTTTTTTTAATTTAAATGGAGTAATTTATTTGTATCGGAATTACATACATGTATATATTACAAACTAAGCATTAGTCCAGTGCACTGTTGATGTTTGTGTTAGTGTGACTTGTAATATACCTTGCCTTGTGTTGCTCTTTATTTGACTGCGTGTTGTTCAAGTTTGAAATATTCCAGTATTGAAGGGTGTTCTTCTGCTTTTTGGAATTTGTTGTTGCTTCTTTGTTTCAAAAATAGAAAGTTTTGTCCGCTACGTTGTTTTCCAACATCAGCGGAGATCACCATGGTATATATTTTCTGTCAGATGATGCAGAGTGCCTTGTGAGAACAGGTAAGAAAGGGACGACCAGAAGAAAAGTGTAAATACTAAAACGTGTTATGAAGTGGTGGATACTCCCCCTTTTGTTTGCTTTTTTTTGTCTTGTAAACTAAGCAATATCTCAGCTTTTTTTTGCCGACGGGCCGTAAATGACAGACTCTCGACTAGAGAATCAGTGATTGATATCATCAGCATCGATCTATGTTGTACTGAGCAGATTATCAAGATTGATGTATTTGTAAATACAGAACAAACACTGGAAACAGTTCAGAACTATTTTAGTGCATGAAAATCCCTGTCAACACACAACAGTATATATAGATACAGGCAATTTCTGGAAACCTACTACCAGTGCAGTGGTGATAGTGGGACATTCGTTTATGAAAGGCATACAGAATGTGACCTAACTGAGAGGTCATCGGTTATCCAATCAAATCGTTAGAATCTCAGGTCAAGTCGTTACGACACAGGTCAACGCGATACGACACTCGTGTGACGTACGAGATTAGTATGCAACTACCCATACGTTGACCTCGTGGGTAATAATATCACTTCTTATAGATATGTATACTCCTCACAAAAAATTAAACACCACAAGTTTTTAATCTTATTACATTTTCATTTGTTGAAATTGCAAATCGTGGGATGATGCAATAGAAGCTCTTTCACAGGCATTATCATCCATGGACGGACATTATCATCCATGGACGGACATTATCACCCATAAAAATAAAGTTAGGACCCGCTTGTTGTGTCTGAGGAATGACTACACCGATCTCGGTGCATGTGTGAAGAGTGGCGCACATTCATGCAACACATTTTGCATGTTGTTTCTGAGAGTGGTTGTGTTCGGGTGATGTCAATATCATCAGACAAATCTATCTGACAGTCACTAAAGGTTATGTATTCTTCAATATTTACCATTTAGTGACATGTCGGCAAAAATCGCTATCAAGATTGATAAAGATATTACACTGAAAATACTTTTATGTGAGGTGTATATTTTAAGCTCTACGTCCATGGTATTCTTCGATCCATGAGACAAAAGCGGTACAATGTACAGATACGCACAGCGCAATTGCAAAGGCATCAATTATATAATTTATTACTTGGTCTCGGGAATATTGCTTCTATTAAATACGACGTTGTTGACGCATTAATAAACATGGCATCAATTTGCATGTATTTTATCATTTGAATAAATATGGATAAACATATACCCAGGTACCACACAGCATTTTACAACGTTGCGGGAAGGTTGTAGATTGGTAATGTCAAGACACACCGTTGTCACAACGTTAGTATTACGTCATTTTATAACGTTATGTGACAACATAATAACAACGTTGCAAATTTACATTGAGGAAACGTTATACTTTGTGCTCCTCACAACGTTATAACAACGTTTCTTATAACTTGGTGTCACGATAGTTTTCTGTAAAGCGTTTCACTTTGAAATTCGTTCTTCACTATTCAGCTACAGCTTCAGAAAGCACACGACCAAAACGACTTGTAAATTAACGAATAAACATTGAAGAGAATTTCTGCTTTGTGTCATATGTACTGTTAACTACTGGGAAAACTATAAAACTATGAACGTTACACAGAACGTAAAGGCAACATTAAATACGTTAGCATCCAATGACTCGATTTACTTTAACCTTGTGGTGACGGAGAAATGACTTATCACAACGTCAGATCACAACGTTGTGATAACGTAAATGGGAATCCACAGAATAACGCTGTGACAACGTGAAATTGTATCGGGGTTCTTGAGGGCATCGTAGTACTGGCGTGGAGCACGAGCAGCGATATTTATTTAGCATGTCATAGAAGACTTGATTCATGGAACGTCATTCATCACCTGAAAAAAAATATTGACTGAGGCATTAAAGCTGAATGTGGTCACAGACTGTATCATGCGGATTTAAGTGAAAGTTGGTTGTATAGATATGCATTCACGAGTTGGTCTCAGAGTTGACTGTTAGTCTCTGCTGACTTTCTCAACACTATACTATGGCTGGGCATACGGTCAATGTTACATTATTTCTTTCACTCATTACACCGACAACAAACACCAAAACGACCATACCTGTTTTGCTCCTGAGATTCCGTTTGTCTTTCTGTGGTTTGGCGTACATGTCTTCAATATTCTCACTTGTTCCTTCACTGCTCTTCACATTATTCACTTTGGCATACACGTCTTGACAGAAAATTTTACACTTATTAAACATCAGTATTCTTCCTCCTAAAAATATGAACAGTTTTTTGTCCAAATTACAATACGGCTGAATAATCGGGTCATATAGCTGTGTCGACACAATACCGGATCAGTGATTGATGGGTGGATTTAATTTGTTAGCCTCCAGAGAAATAAAATATCGTCCCCGTCAAGGCAGGCGTATCTACATTGATAACCTAGGATTCTGTGACTGTAGAACTGAACTGAACTTACAGCCATACTGTTTAAAGCATCCAAGTGTAAGAAAATTAATTCCACTATTAACAGATACTACAACATCATTATTACACAATCTGGCAAATTGAATGTATATCTATTTCGCCATCAGCTTAAGAAAAAGGATTGTCATTGAAAAGAATTTGTAAATGACTTTTATTCACTCATGTAAACTTTAAATGTACTACAGGCATGTGGCCTTTATAAGTACTGAATAAAGATTGATTGATTGATTGATTGATTGGATGGTTGGTTGGGTGGTTGATTGATTCAGATGATATATGAAATCAAACACGATCAATCTTACGTTATAAAGTTTTAGATAGTTGCAAGATGCGCCTCGATAAATGTAATGGTTTTTGATTCTTTCCGCCATACTCGTGCTGTCGTCACTCTCATACATATTTTCAAATTTTTCGTCTGATCTGCATTGTAAAAGACAAATGCAGATCTGTTTGGACCCGTGAAGATCCGTGTTAGAATTGGTCAGCAATCCATGTTTGTAATAAGAGGCGACTAACGGGACCGTTTGGTCAGGATCGCTGACTTGACACATGTAGTCGTATCCCAATGGCGTAGATCGATGCCCATGCTTTTGATCACTGGATTGTCTGGTCCAAACTCGATTATTTACTGACCGCTGCCATATAGCTGGAATATTGCTGAGTGCGGCATTAAACAACAAACCAACCAACCAGCCTTGATTTGGTTTCGTGGACACACTCATACATTTGACAGTTTAGCTGATAGTTGATGAAAGCATGAGTCAAACTCCTACACGTTTGCAGATTTCTCTTCGAACTACCAACAGCATCTGGCACACTTACCTCCATTTGGTGTTTCCTGCAGTCCTTTGTGTGGTTTTGCGTACACGTCAGTAGGTTCCTGTGTGTCTGCACTCGTCTTCACCTTCTTCACCTGGGTGTAGACATCTGCCAACAGCAGCAACATCTACCCGATACAGCATCATTCATGCAGATTCATGCTCACAGTGAGTTTGGTAGTTGTTCCTTGGCAATGCACTTCGGTGAAGTAAGGTCTCATTATCAAAACACACACACACACACACACACACACACACACACACACACGAACACGAACACTTAAAAAATAAATTTATACACATTTCGTACGTGTTGGATCTTGTAGAAGCAGAATATGTGCGTTAAAATTGATGCTCTTGATAGCCATTTTAAATCTGAAGACTTTCGGAACATGCAAAATGTTGAAAAATTCACGCAGTAATGTAAAATTTCATTTGACGTAAATCTAATTTTCCAAACACGATAAGATAAGTGTAAGCAACTGGAGTCCACAGAAATGATGTAATTTTTACCTTTACCAACATGTTTCCGATCTTCAATACTGTAATTGGCCGGCGCTATATCCGATGAACTGGTATACAAAATATTGTCCTGCATGACTGAAATATGCAAGTAATGAATAAAATTATATGTATTCGCATCCTTTAATTATCATCCCCTAGTCAACAATTAACGGAGTATACTGCTTAGAATCCTAGACATAATTGGAACTTCGTAACAAAGGGAATATTAAAGGTAACATGCAAACAAAAACTCAAACATAATTAAAACACAATTATCACTTATTCATGACATATAATATACATTGCTGGTTATGAAAAAAACACATAAACAAAATTTTAAGCGTACAATCGAAAATCAATAGTGCAATATTTTGAACTTGGGTTTACTTCCCAAGAATCGAAGAACCCAGGATACCGAACCCAGTCAGAGCGGGTGGGTGTGCACTCAAGTGTAACGGCTGGTTATTTTGCAGACGCCCGCACGGCTCATTGTGTGTGTATATATAGAGATGTTGGGTTTTGTAAATACATGCTCATTTTTTGTGTATAACATTTTGCAATCAACAGACATCATAACATGTCATGTGTGCAAGTATCACACCTGCCTGTCTGTGTAATTGCATAATGTGACAGAGACCGAAAATAGCGCTGGGGGAAAATTAGCGAATCGTTGGAACTACGATTTCGCGCGGTTTTTTTCATCGCATTATTTGGCAACATTACAAGTTGAATTTGCATTTTTGATGGTTTGTTTCGGTAAGACCATACCGAATGGTATCAAAATCTGCAATGTTGTGTTTTACGTTGCATGTGACGTTAAAGCTAAGCAGTTATTTGTGAAAGGAACGATGACATGCAAATTGAAACATTCCTTTAGTGTTGAATCTCCAGGGGAACCGTTCTTTTATCTACAAAAGATATGCTCGTGATAAACCCTTGGAGCAGAGGCTCCAACCAGGAAGCACGTGTAAAGGGTTAACTGACGCACATACTATGTATTTTGTAAAACTAATGATATCATTTTCGTCACCTTTATCGGCTTGATTGTGATCCTGTATACTGTATTCCGCCGGCGCAACCTCAGACGAACTGGTGTATATAATGTTGTCCATCATAACGGAAATATGCATCAAATAAAATGGCCCCGGGTTTATTGTATAAATGTATCACTTACACAGATATTGGGGATTTGAAAATGTTAATAGATGATAAGTCTTTAAATATGTTGACGTGTTTGAAGTTACTGATGCATTCAAAATATTTCATTGTCTCCATCACTTGAGACAAAGCTTCAGTAACTTGCCTTTTTCGTCGTCTTCATTTACTCCACTTTCAATCAGCATCTCAGCTCTTATGTCAACAGTGAAAATAACATTAAAAGGGTCAGAATAGAATCAATCAAGACTTATAACATGTTAGGTGACACACATAACAATATTGGTCTTGTGACGGGAAAATACATTGATGATCACGATACATAGGCATGTCTTAATCAATATCTGTAAACAAAAATTAAGCATAAGATCCTCTTCACCATTAATGAGACTGTAGTATGTTATTCTGTATATGTAACCTCGTCTGTGCTGTTGCAGTGACATCTTCTATTTGAATGTGGCTCTAATTTACAATGGAAATCGTCTCTTCCCCAAAGTTAAAGACATAAACAAGGGCCCAGTAGCTTCAGACCTGTGATTTCAAGAGGGATTGTTTAAGTATATGGCTATTATTATGAATGCTGCCGACATATATGTACCTTCTGGAACTGTTTCTGTCATCTCGAGTATTATGTTTGCCATTTCCTGGAAGAAAAGGCAAATATTAGTTGGTGAGTGAGTGACTGCCTGACTGAGGGAATGATTTGTTTTGAACGATAATTCAGATGGAACTATTTGTCAGCTCCATGTGGAAAGGACAACCTTTCAGCGATGACACATCAACAATGATTGGAATTGTCCTCACTTGTCATGAGTTGTTGTAACTCAGTCATTATATCAAGTATTACCTTCAACAGAGCGTGGTCTTTTTCTGATACAAATAGCCGCGACGATGACAACAGCGATGACAGTAACACCTCCACCGGCTGCTCCAGCGGCGATGGCAATGGTGTTGGTCTGACCTGGACGTATGAATAATTGGGTGACAACATTTCATGGTCCTGTTGATTTATGGATATCATACCTATGTTAGGGTAGAGAAGCAGTACAGTGTTCCCTGCTAAAAAAGTGGTGTATTACATCAGTGTGTGTCACACTTTTGTCAGTTTTATTTAGAATATCTGAGTATCTACTTGTACAAAATGCCAAAGATGGGATTTGGCTGTACCCTATTGTGGAGGAAATATTACCTCTATATTATACAAGTCAATAAGTAATGAAAACAATTGACTTTCACACATATGTGTCGTCTGGGTTACAGGGGAGATGTCGAGAGCTCTCAAGCGCATTCACTCCTTGGTGAGCGCCTATTTGTAGTAACATAAAGAAACAAAAAGAATACGTGTAAAGATGTGATTTAACTAAAATATTCAATATACATTTTATGGAAACGTTATTTGGCTGAAGCTAAAAACGTTAGGTACAGAACAGAGCCGTGATACGCTCATCATATATAGATAGATATATAGCTTGGAATTTTCCGTCGCAGAAATGGATAACTGTAAACTCATTTAATGTTTTAGTTGTATATATTACAACATCTCCAACTTTACCTGAGCAAAGACTTTCCTTTCCAAACTCAGAGTGGAACCTAGGAAATGGTCTCGAAAACGCAACCTGATCTCGGAGATGGTACCGTGTTCTCCATGTTTGTCTTGCAACTCATGCTGCACGTGCTGTTCACAAGGACCAGCCCTATAAAATGCACCCCAATCCTGGTTGAAACATTCAAATTACAACGTCAGCAGGATGCCGCGACTCACGACCGCTCAAAGGAACCAGGCACTAGAAAGTATAGAAGCTGACAACACTGCACGATCCGTTGCCAGTCGCTTCCAGCTCAATGTTCGGACCATCTACAGGTTGCAGCAACGTTTCCGAGCCACCAACACCACAAATGATCGCCCCCGTACTGGCAGACCAAGGGTGACCGCAAGACGACAAGACTGCCATGTTGTGCGACAGCATGTACAGAATGCCTTCAGGCAGGCATCCGAAACAGCACGCCAGACAGTGGGAACACACGGAAGACCAATCAGTACTGATATAGTACGCCGACGTCTTGACAGCGGTAACCTCCATTGCCGTAAACCTCCCGTTGACCTATCCTCACCTCTCGTCATCGGCATGAACGTCTACAGTTTGCCCTACAACACCAAAGCTGGCGATACAGGCAATGGAGAACTGTTCTGTTCACAGATGAGAGTCGGTACTGCCTATCAACTGCAGATGGCAGAACAAGAATATGGCGACGACGTGGCTAGCGTTACTCAGACCAATGTGTTATGGAGAGAGACTCATGGGGAGGTGGAAGCATCATGGTATGGGGTGGAAAAGGCCTGAACCAGAAAATTGATCCTGTGGTGTTCCAGAACCTTGGACCAGGGAGAGGAGGCGGCATCACAGCGGTGCGCTACATCGACCAAGCTCTCAAACTGATAACGCCCGGGCCAGTACTGCTAGAGCTACACGGGACTTCCTACAGCACTACCGTGTCAACATTATGCAGTGACCAGCCCGTATTCCTGATTCAAACCCAACAGAACATATACTGAGTCAAAAAAGAAACTTCACATTCTTTCTTCAGGGCACTATAAAAGAACAAGATATGATACGTTGGTTAAATTGTTATTATTTCATTGCTGCGATCTGTGTGATGTACTCGATACACTGACAGTGTCATAGTCTACACCGCTGTTCCAAAACATGGGAATACAGAATGTCAAGTCACAAGAATAAAAATGTGAAATTTCTCAGTTTAATATCGTGTATGGCCGCCCTGCGCTTTCAACACTGCCAAACACCGTCTCTTCATCGACTGCCTGATGCTTGTGAACACGTGGTTGGGGATTCTGCGCCATTGCTCTTGCAAGGCAGCACCAAGTTCCTGCAAATTCTGAGGTTGGTTCCTAAGACCACGAAGCCGTCTCACAAGTGCATCCCAAACGTGCTCTATTGGATTAAGGTCAAGGGACCTCGATGGCCAGTCCATGACGTTGATTCCAGTGTTTTGAAGGAAATTTCGTGTCAGATCGCGGTATACGGCCGAGCATTATCATGCTGGAACTGTAGACCTGGCCCATGATCCACCATGAAAGAAACGAGTTCAGGGGTGAACACCTGGTCGCGGTTAGCAGCAGCTGTGAGGTTTCCACGAATGACCAGAAGACGGGAACGGTTGTTCCCACAGAAAGCAATGCAACTTCCACCATGCAACTTCCGCCCCCGAATCTGTCGACTTCCTGTCCACAACCATGGGCATACCGTTCACGACGTCGTCTCCAGACTCTATGCCTGCCATCCGCGAATCTGAGGGTAAACCTGGATTCATCACTAAAGACGACTCTATGCCAGTCTCTCTGGGTCCATCGGTGGTGACGTTGGGCCCACAGTAGACGTTGACGTTGCTGAAACGGCGTCAATATTGACCCACGACATGGACGTCGAGAATGGATATTGGCAGCCCGCAACCGATTTCGAGTGGTCTGTGAGGACAGTCAACCTCTTAACATATCTGCCCTGTTTCGTGTAGCCGGCAGAAATCAGTCACGTAGGTGACGTAGGACGATTTGACGGTCTTCTGCTCGTGACGTCACATGGTGACCTGGGGCGATCAGAAGTGGTGCTAGTATGTTGTAGACGACCTCGCAAGTCATACACAGTACGACGGTTGCATCCCATTGCTCCTGCGACGTCAATAACAGATCTTCCCGATTCAACATGCCAACGGCACGTTCACGTTGCACATTTGACAATCGTGGCATTTCAAGTACCGTTAGAACTGTGGTTTAAAAGTGTTTTTTTTTCAATTCCTGAGGCCAATGCTAACACGTGCATATGAAGAAACATTCGATGCGAAGATCACATGATCGACTGCACGTGCAAAACCTGATTTGGCACTAACGTCATTTGCCCGACGATGGATGGGTTTGAGTGGGGTTTGCTAAATGCTAAAAATTTTCTAGAGTCGAAAGACTGGGATCCCATTTCGGATACATAGATGTATCATCAGAGAAAAAGTATTTATTATTTTTCAAATTACATTTTGTGAAGTTTCTTGTTTGACTCAGTATATTTGGGATGAAATTCAGATAAGGCCTTGTGGTTCTAGGTGCCAATGGCCTTCCTCAATCGATTTGTGCACTCCATGCAGAGACGCTGTGCTGCAGTTAATGCCGCTCGTGGTGGTCACACTAGATACTGAAGTCAAGGGTCTGAATAGACTGCCAACGTTCACATAATGTCTTAAGCTATTCATTGACGTGTCAAGATATTGTACACAAAAAATGTTTTGATCCGCTAATTATGTCTATTTCTGTAATGATTTGATAAACGTGCCTATCTAATTTTGAATTCGTACAGACCTTGGATTTTTTTGCTGCTGAGTATATAACAAATAACTAAGTCTTGTTTGTTTCATGTTTTAACACCACCAGACATGGGTGTATGCTTTGATCGTTCAGCATATAACTGACTATTAAACGATGACTTTCAACGTGTTGTTTGCTGTTTGTTGTTTGTGTTGTTTGTTGAAAATATATATATATATATATATAAATGAGTGTGTTATATACAGTAACATTAAAAAACATAAAGGTGTTATTCTTTTATCAAAAAGTCATATTACACTGTCATAAACAGAACTACATTCGTCAAAACTACGATTATGTCAGATAATGTCATGACTGGAATATGTTATTTATGAATAGATAGTGGCAATATCATGTGTATGTTTTTTGTGGCAATATCATGTGTATGTTTTTTAGTGGCAATATCATGTGTTTGTTCTTAGTGGCAATATTATGTGTATGTTTTTAGTGGCAATATCATGTGTATATTTTTATTTGCATGAACATTGACATGTATATATCTCAGTCGTTATTTGAATATGTAAGTGAACTAGATGTGCTGTCATGGATTAGTTGTGCCATAATTGCTCTCATGTATGGACACATTAGATGTTGTACCGTTGTCAAGCAAGAGTGATACATGAAGTGGAGGAGCTGCATACATATACTGTACATAACAATGAAACAACATACATTGTAATTGACCGACACAAACCTAAGCGAATCCATGCCAAATGTCCAGCATGTGGACATGTCTTCACAGATTGGAAGTTACAACCCGCCTGTCGTACTAGAGAAAGTTGAGGTAGAAAACATCCGGTTCGTCGATCCTGGTAATGCCCTTCTTCCCCGACGGGTGCAGATGACTCCCCCTGGACGAAGTCCCTTAAGGAAGAAGAGGCCACCTGACGTCACTGTCTCCCTTTCAGAGAAATACCCACAGATGACCTCCAGATGGAAATCGATTCTCTTCTTGAAAACATTCCAGATCCTCCTATGTACTGACCTCAAGTTAGTGTTCCTTATTCGCAATTGTCGCAGTTGATGTATATTGGAATGAATGAAATATTTGTTATGTTGTGTTTGTATGTATGTTAATAATTGGGAAGTAATTTGGTTTAATTGGGAGTTAAGTTATTAGCTAATAACCTTGTTTGGGGGTGGCGGTGGTGTTAGTTTGGGATATTTTGGTACAGTTCTATTTCTATTTGGTCGGGTTAACCTGACACGGGTTATTAGTGAGTTCTCGGCGATGCTGTTATGCATAGCCACAACCGTATGTTGGTGTGGTCTGTCTGGCATGTCCAGCACATGAACTGCCAGCACTCCTTGTGTTTAGTCTACTGGATTACCAGAGGTGAGGACATTTAATTCAGGTGCTTGAGTCCTGGTAATCTAGACCAAGTAGATGGGTTTTGGGGGGTTATTTACATTCATTGACTTTTACATAGGAAATTAATTTATTTATCTATGAACATGGGCTCTGAAATCTGAGCCATGTCTCGTTAGGGTTGGGTTAGGTTCTGGGCATAGCTTAGGTTAGGTTGTTAGGTTAGGGAGTGAGAATTTCACTGTATTAGGTTTTGTAAATAAATTATTGAGTTTCTATTTTCTATTTGCTATGGTTTTACCAGCCTGATCCATAGGGCCTACTTGAAGTTGACTACTTTACCATCATCACATAATAAAGTCCACAACGCAAGGTCCTATACCCTACAGTAGCCAACATTAACTGTCACTGGGTAGAGAAGCCTATTACATCTGTATAAGGTTCTCTCGTCACGATATGACTGAAATATAGCCGATGTGGCGATAAATCTTAACTCACTCCCTAAAAATATGTTTTAAACCGTTTCGTTAAAAAATGGCTTTCAGACTTTGCTCAATGAGATACATTCGATGCGATGTAGTATTTTACAAATAGCATGAAGTAGTTATGATTGTGTCTAAAACAAGTTAGAATTGAAATAACTTTAACTGAAATATGGAGTGTGGCATTTGTCCACAGAAATATATTCCCATCTCAGTAATTGTAGTTTTGAGGGATTTACCACGATATCTGGTGATGTACGTGTGTTGTAATTACACCTTGAGGTGTATGTAACGGGAAAGAATGCTTGTGTGAATTACCTGCTGACTTACCACCTGTGGTGCCAGACGTCGTTATTGAGTAGCCTTCGGTTGTGGTTGTGGCGGCGGTGGAGGTGGTAGTGTTTGACATTGTATTAAGATGTTTCGATGTTGAGGGTGTTGACGTCTCGGACACATTAACATCTGAAGCAGTAGTAAGGCCAATGTTATCATGTAAGTGTCAGTACGGCATGGAGCAATTATTGAACACATGAGTTCAATACTAACAAGTATTTCTGTAACTTTGGTGCATGTTGTAAGTACAGGATGACTGAACGGTCAAACTGACATCAGCACTAACAACACGTTTGAATGACAAAACTACTGGTCATGTGGACCACAACCTCGAACACTAGTAACAATATTAATCCATTACACTGACGAGGGTACTCACTCTGTGTTCTTGTATATATTTTTAAAAAAAAATCAATTTACAAAAAATACTAAAGAAACAACACTGTAGTTAATTTAACTTTAATATATCCTTTGAGTACTGAGGTTCTCTTTCAGGGTGAACAGAATATTGCAATAATATTAATGAATTAAAAGAAAACAACAACAGAAAGTGAAAAGAGTGCTACACATGCGTTTGTTGCATTCATAAATATTATCTTTTACCTAGAAAAGTACTTAGAGCTTTATTAATGTAAGGTGAACAAATACTGTGAAAATGTGAAATGCATATATCACACAAACTATGTCCTTGCATAGTTGGAGACATGTTGACATTGTAATACACAGAACAGACGTAGTTATTACATCTAGCCGCGCCTGACACAATAGATATAACAAAAGGGTCACCATATCTTCTGGATTGTGTTTTGAATGTGCTGCGTGTCACGTTAAAATTAAGTTAAGATTAAAAGTCACGTCGGCAATATTTCGATATACATTGATAATATATTAACTAAACAGAAAGAGTGAACAAGTAACACTAAAATCACATACAGGCGTCGTTTAAAACTGACATCTAACACTAAAATATGGCAAGTTATATCCATGCATTAGAGAACTGACGAAACACCACACTAGGGAGTTACGTGTAAGTTCAGTTTATCTGTTGGTAACCCCTCGTCTATTACCTGTTGATCCGGTCGACGTTATCGCTGTAACTGTTGTGACTGACGCCGAAAGGGTTGGGGTTGGCGTTACTGTTGTTTGATGTACTGTAACATCTGCAACATGTCGTGCTGTTATTGTATTAAACACTTCCATTTCAAAGGCAAGGCATATAATTAGAAGATAAAGCTACTCTGGTTATTATTTGGCGGTGCTTTGTCGTTGATTTAAGACTGCTAAATGTAGTTTAAAAACCGAACGCGTTAGCGTTTTAGAAACGGAGTCTTTGGCGCGCAAGGACACAAGGCGTGAAAGGGCCATTTTCTTGGAAATGGCTTGGAATCGTCAAGTTGAGGGACGGGTTGTGTAATGAGCAACATAAGACATTTTCAACAACATAAGGAACCAATGTGCTTGTATTTGTACCAAGTAGCTTAAATAGATAAGAAAATAAGTTTATACTGTGAGCAAGTACGATTATTTGATTTTCTCATGCGTATTATTATTCTCTCACAACAATCACGCTACTATTCCCAATTTGGTAAAGACCTGAGTAGTATACGCTATGGGGCTACGGGACCTGGTCCCTCCCAAGGAATCATTTTTTTTTTAATTGAGCCCTTGGGAAGTCCCTAATCCCGTAGTCCCATTGTGTATACTACTACTGAGGTGCATGCAACATTTGATGAAAATCGGTCGAATAGTTTCTGAAATATTGTATTTTAAGTGAGCATGGGGTCGGTTGGGAAAAAGGCTCGGGTCGCCTCGGGGGTGGTTGTTCCTCTGAGCGCTGTGGGCGGACGAGTCGTGTGCGTGTGTCTCTCTCGGCTTGGTGTACGGGTGGCTGGTTGGCTGGCTACGTTATGCAGAAAAATAAGCATGCAAGACCGATAAAATATAATGACGAGAAACTATCATAACACGGTTGGTGATGTGTAAGGGACTGTGTCGTGAGGTACGATCATCAACTCCTCTCGGACGAATGCTCTCGGTGGTCCGTCTTTCAAGTAGTACAAGTTCGGTTCGCCATCTTTGATGTCGACAGGTCGATGTTGTACGTTTTCATGTACCATATCGGATCGGTGGCGCGTTTTCTGCTGTCTCCCTCGTATTCGCCCTGCTGGTATAAGTACCTAACGCTGACATGGTCCGGGTAATGTTTTCTCTGTTTTATCGCGACGCGCGGCCGCTGGTGATGATTCGACTGATTTCATTTTGATGGCTTCTACGGTTCTTTTGCCCACGAGTCTTGTGACTTCGTCGTTGATGACATCCACCACTCGTTGTAAGCGTACAACCCATTCCGTGTTTCTGTTTCCAGGAGAGATTAAATCCTGCGAGTATTGGTGTTAGAACAGGCGTTCGGCTAGGGTGCAATTGAATCTCTCAACGATGGCTTGGCTAGGGGTGAGCTCACGCTATACCTCGTCTCACATGGACTTGGTGCTTGGCCAGCAGCTGTGACACAGCTCCCATGAACTCGCGTCCAGGATCGACTTGCAATACGGTAGGCCATATCAAGCAACTGCGTTTGTATATGCATTCGAAGGTTTGGGCGACTTCGTTCGAATCTTTCTTTGTCAACGTTTCAGCTTCCTTGTCGCAACTGCCAATGTCGACGATGGTCAGGGCATACTTGTATGTTTTGCACCTAACCCTGTCGTGAGGCAGAAACAGGAGGTCAGCTTGGTGAACGCGATTCTGCATTGAAATGTCGAATTTTCTTCTCGCTATGTACCGAGGTGCCGCCAGGTAGACTTGCCAGGCTTTGGCTTTGCCTTCCGAGACTCGAGCAGCTTTGGCGAGTTTCGGGATGGCGTTCATGCCTTTCGAGTACCCTCGCAGGCTGTAATAAATTTTCTCCATGATATGTGTACCCATGTGTGAGTAAGTGTTCAATTATTCATTACGCCTGTGTGTGTGTGTGTGTGTGTGTGTGTGTGTGTGTGTGTGTCCGTACACGTAAGTAGTGACTCTGTCGATGGAGATCCATCGTTTCGTGTCCATGGGAGACAGCGAGGTCTTGTTGATTCTCAGTCCCTACATCCTGTGTCCGTCGCTTCTCAGCATGTTCATTTGGTGTTTGAACGTTTTATTCTTGAACAGGGGTTCTTTGAATCTGGCGTGCTTGATGTGTTTTTTCACCATGTGTTGTTTCACACCTTTCACCTTTCGTCACCGTTGGCTTTCTTGATGGAATACATCTTGGGTCTCAAGCTGGCGCACTCGGCGATCGTCGTGCCCACGCATTCGTTCTTCATCTTGCCGAGCACTGTTTTGTTGACTTGGCTGTGCATAGAGTGATATTCAGAGTAGTCGTTCGTACACGTCCTCGGTGCGAATTTCATCAGCAGGGAATCTGTGTCCGTTTCCTGCACTTCGCACCTGTCGCCGTACTGCTTTTTCAGCTGGTTGTAGTAGAAATCGTACATCAAGTGTTTGGATAAGTAGAGGATGCTTATCCCCACGTAAACGGGCCGGTTGAATTTGAGGTGTTTTTTGTTCATGTGCAGTGCTGCCAAGTCGTCGTCCAATATCTTGCTTCGATTGAACGCTGGGCTGGTTATAAGTTTCTTCAGTTTTTCTTCCAGGCTGGATCTGACTAATGTCACGTTAACGCATTTTCTCAAATTCTCCATCGTCTTGCCAAACACCGAGTTGTTCATGAGCTTGTAGAAGTTTTTTCGAAGTCGTTCGTGGCTTGTGTTCGTAACTTCGTGTTCAACCGAATGTAAGGTTCCATCCATGGAGTTTGATCGAACTGGAGCGCCCTGTGTATTTTCGTGAGTTTCATTCCCAGCGACAAGTACAGCTGCAGATTGCAATAGTGAACGACATATTATTCGGCACGAGTTTTTCAACGTTAGCCAGCTTGTTGTTTCCCGTCAAGTTTCGTTGATATTCGGACATCCAGTCAGGGTTCACTGTCAATCGTTTGGGAGCTAGCAGATAGCTGTTGTGTGATTTGTGTAGTTCTGCAGGATAGTCCAAGTCCACTTCGAGCACGTAGCCATGTTCGAATCCAGCACGATGCCATTCACGTCAATCATCTTGGGTGAGGAGACCTATTCGAATCCCCCGATAGGTGTGTTTGGTCAGTTTGCCGGGGTCGTTACCTGGAATGTACTTGTTGTTGGCTGTGGCGTATCGTTTGGAGGCCATGGAAATCCCACCTCACAAGCCTTTTTCCACGAACAGGTGCATGTTTATTCCATTAACAATTCCAATTTAACTCTGGTCTTTTTCAACAAGGCATCCCAAGAGAGACCGGGGCAAGAGAAAAAACACGCGTGGTCCAGGCCGTACTGTTTCGAGCACGATTTTCTGAATATCTCGAACACTTCAGCCAGCAGCAGCACGTCCTTTTTTCAAGTACTGTTCGGAATCGTCCAAATTCTTGCAGCCCAGTTTGTCCCACACGTTAATTGCGTGCGCGTAATCGTCTGGGGTGATGGCAGAGTCGGTCGAGTTGCTGTAAAATTGGTCGATGGGAGGTAATCGCGTCTCGTCGAACTTGCACTAATCGTCCATGTATTCGTAGAGGTAGACGCCCTTCTTCAGCAGCAGGGATCGAGTCTAGGCGTCCGTGTATTGATTGGTGATGTCGAAGTCGTCCGGGTCGTTGGCGTTCACCAGACTGTCTAGAGACGACAGCAGGAACTGAACACTATCGAGAAATCTCAGACCGTCTAACGAGAACGAGATGTATATTTCCATGTTGGGGATGCACGTTATGTTGTCATCTACCGTCGCGATGGCCTGCATTATCAGGTGGGAATCGTAACCGTGAAGATTGTGAAACACGACGGGGATTTTGATGGTTTTGGGATCGACTTTGAGCTTCAAGTTGCACACGTTGTGAGTGGAACCTCTGTACATGCCGGTGATGTGGCAGTGATCTCTCACGATGATGGTGTACAGCTGTTTCCTGATGATTTTCTCTTCGTTTTGCAACACGTGAGAAATTGTTTTGGCAGCGTCGGGACCTCGGTAGACCACGGGCGTGTTCGTTTCCCCATCGCATCGAATGACCATGTAACCGAACCCACAGGCTTTGTGTTCTTGTGTTTTATGCATGAAACTTTTTTCTGGGGATGGAGCAACAGTGTTGACGGTTTTGACGAGGGCTTCGAAGTTGGCGTTGATGACGTAGGGCACAGGCATTTAATGTTTTTTTGGTTGATGAATTTTAGCGTCTGGCATGTCAATTCGTATTGCAATCTGTCCCACATCACGGCAATCCTCCCGGTTTGATTCCAGCGGGTGGGCTTGCATGTAAACGTGCAGACACCTTTCGAAGAAGTGTTTTTTTTTCCTTACGCTTCGATTGATCATACAACAGTCTGCTCAAGCTTTTAATCTCCGATTACTCCACGTTTTTTGGCAATCCTTTTCAGTTCTCGAACGGTAATCATCATTGCTATATCAATGTGTGAAAACTTTTTCTATATGAAAAATAATTATATTCAGATGCAAAGTCAAATATCTAATAGGTTGTTCGCTATAGTCAGGTGTCAAGTCAAATCTCTAATAGGGTTTTTCACATGTCAAGTCAAATCTCTAATAGGATTTTCATCGCTATGTTCGGTTGCGAGGCAAAATGTCTAGTAGTTTGTTGGTGTGCGAAATATGTTTCGCTGTTAAATGTTAGCAACGATGTCAATACGTTGGATAGTTAAACTTTCATCTGACTTAAGAAAAAGCGATTTTCGGCATGAATGTTAGATTTTTATTCTGAGCAGTCGGTTGCGTTCGTTATGATAGTCTCTTTGTAGTCTAATTGTTTGGTGATCAACATGTTCGCCGCTATCTGTTCTGGGGAAGGCATGTAAAACTGCAAGAGGGTGGGTTCATCGCCGAGAGGTACGAGTCGTTTGCCGGTGAGCAGGTAGTATGTCGCATGGCGTCATCGACGTTCTTGAACGTTTGAACCTTCGTATTTTTCGCGAGCGAGTTGGTCGTTGATGAACTGTATTCTCTGCACGCGGTTTTAGGTGTACTCAGCTTGCGCGGCTTGCAGTTTATCCAAGGCCAAATCGTGACATTTACGTCTGCATTCCATTTCGGCCGCGTTCGATGTTCGTAATTTGGAGAAGAGATAATTGCTGCCAGAAAATGCCAGGGCGTTGACTAATGCAACACCGACCATCATTATTTATTATATTATGTATATTTTAATATTACTTCAAAATATTTTCCGGTATAATTCCTTGTTTCATGAGAATGTCCTTGGTGGCCATTGGTGGTCCTTGCGGTGATGCTAGCGCTGATCTGAGAGAAACGCCCCAGCGTGCCAAAGAAGCGTTGGGCGAAATTGAAAAAATATTGGTCACGTACTCGAACGAACCCTTACCCGGTTGCGAATTGCCTCTTAGGGAACTTCGGGCTCTAGACGAAGCCTTGAAAAAACGTGCGCGGAGAACTCATGAACAAAATGGGTAAACTGAACGAAATCGATGAGCACATCGCTTGCGAGTAAAGAAAACTAAGGATCGTGGACGACAAAGCCACAGTAAACATCAGCAAGAAAAGAATAGGAACCCTGGAAGACGAGAGACAGACCAGATTTGAAGCCGCTTCTTCCAACCGCGAAGCCCTCCAATCACAAATCAGCCGCATGCATGAAACCATCGATCGAGTCTTGAACGAGGACAACACATTGGCTGACAGGTTCCGAATTCTGTTCCGGGAACAAGGAATCACCATCGTCAGCGTTCTCACGGCTTTGGGCTTCATCATATCGAGCCTGGTCGTATTGCTGACGGGCAGTGGTGGTACACCACCAAACCCAACACCAACAAGTCCATCATCAGGCAACGACGTCAGAGACTGGATAAAAAAAAATTGAAATCTCACAGCGAGGCCCTGGCTAAACTGGCAGGCAAAGCCGCTGAAGCACTGCCTGGCATTTGGGCACCATCGTTTCCTGGTTATTAGGCTTCTTGTCAAAAACGGTCTCGTGGCAGTCAAAACCTGTGGCCGTGGTGGGTTTGGTGTACGTCGCAGCTAAATAATTTTTAACCAAATGAGGCACAGTCCAACCGCGATCCGACCGACCACCAGCGCCATTTTCCAATCAATGTGCCACTGATTGTTTGCCTGCATGTGCGGGGGCAGCTGCTGGTGTTGTCATGGTGGTTCTACTTCTTCCGGTGCCACGATGCCCGTTTCATACTGTGGCACGACTCAACCCGCGTTATTCACGTCCGGTTTCAAGCCCAACTTTTGATCGCCGATGGCGATGACGATTTCGCTGTTGTAGCCCACCACTCTGTTCACCCTCAGTTGCATGCGCTCGGAGCCATGTATAGTCCCGCGCCGAACACGTAGTCGACTTTCGAACAGGCGTATCCTAGCGCGTTTTCATAGCATTTGATGGCACTCGGTAGATCGACCAGTCTAGCAATAGCATCCTCGACGTTAGCCACGAACTGTTTCTGCATATCATAAGCCATCCCTTCATGACCCACGAAGCTGGAACGCATTTGCATCTGAGGGCCCAGCACGGCCCGCACGTACGTTTGAATCAAATCATTCAATATGACACCGGCACGGGTAAACCCTTTGAAAGTGTTCAGTATGAACATTTTCCAATCGTCCGCGGGTCCTTGCTCAAAATTCCAAACGCGGTAATCCTTGCTGTCGTCGAAAGCCATGTAATCGTCGTGACATAATGATACGACTTGTAACCCCAATCTTTCACCAGCTGTTTGCTGTCTTCCACGAGAGACATGTTGTGAACTATGGGAATGCCCAAACGCCAATCGACTCTGCAAACGCCAATCGACCGTCTTTGGATCTAGTTCGAATTCACCGCAAATGCGTTCGTACGCACGTCGACCGTAAGGATTGTTTACGGCATTCCATGCCTTGGCCTGCGGAAACAGGGCACTGATTTCTTTCAGGATGCGTCTGGTAGTACACGTGAAACGAGAATACAGACCGACTCAGCGCATCACGACGAGCGTCGTACAATGTCATGCACCACACGGCGAAATTGAATTGATTCTGACAGAACTGCATGGGGTTGTTAAACCAAGCGTGTACCGTTTTCTCATTCATGACCAAAAACCCGTAATTTTTAAACACGTTGATGAACCGAACCTTGAAATGTAAACCATCCTTTGCATCGATCAAAATACCCGGTTTTGTGAGATCGGTAGCACTTAAATTATCACTTTTAGAATAAAAAACTCCCGGTTTGTACATATTGAATTGTTATAGATTTGTATACATGTTAAATATTTGAGACTCAGTCGGCCGTTGGCTAAATGCTCGGGTTGACATCGAACGACCTTCAACCCGAAACCACCGTGACCGGCTCAAAATTAGCCAATCTCGTTCCATACCGCGAACTGTACATTCATCTCAATCAGCTGAGCACGATGGACAACGTTTAAGGCGAATGACCTTCCACACTGCTGAGAGCCGTGCTGGTGACAATGGATAAGTACAACCACGGCAAAACTGAATCGTTTTCGTCACGGCAGTGGAAGAAATTAATCCGAGGCAACATCACAGAATTGGAAATTTTGGTTTTAGACGTTAAACAAGATCACATAAGTATAGGATATCTCAGCGCGACACTGCACATACGGCAATGACGGAGTCTCATCGTCCAGGAACACACTTTCTAAAATGCGCCAACATAACGCTCTCCGACCTTGGGGACACACACGGATATGACGAACCTGGAGTCGACGGCAAACTGTACGGCTTGCAACTGATAAACAGAATTGTGGCGAAAACACTGGAAACCGTAGACAGGTTTCGTTTGCGACAGATATGTGACATCAAACAACAACTAGAACGTGAACGCGATACACAGTCGGCCTTACAGAAAACATATCACAGAGCCGTCAATTCCGTGGACGGTGTTGACAGCGCTTTCATTTCAGTCAGCATAGCATTAGGCATAGCAGGTGTCGGGTTATTATCCACCATCGTGGCCACACCCGTGGTGCTAGGCATCGAAATAACAGCCGGAGTGACAGGGTTGATGGGATTGGCGCCACAGTTTGTGTCTCGCAGACTGTAATGTAAAGCATTGAAACACAACAAAATCAGAATTCTAGCCGAAGCGAAGTTAAACACGATAGACGATCATATTTCCACCCCACTGACTCTAAAATCTCTGAGGAAGAGTTTCGTTTGGTGCTATCAGAAATCGCAAAATGTCACAGAAGGAAACAATAGATTCGGACCAAGTCTCGTAAAAGCGCCGTCACTTGAGAAAAAAAATTCATAGAACAAGGGAAGCAACAGGCCTGACTAGCCTTCATTACGAAAACCAAACAAATCACAGAAGGAGATTCACAATATACTGTTTCGCAGACATCAACATAACGTAGCCAGCCATCTCTAGGTAAACAGCTGAGCCGAGACACACACACACTGCGACTCGCCCACACTTGTGGTATGGTATGTTCCTGTGAACATCAGAACCATAGCGTCTATATATAGTCTGAATTAGGGCATCTAAGTGTGTCAAACGATCTTGTTTGAACGTCTGGCTTCTATAATTCTCCTGTCACTATCACATTCAGCTCCGTTACCTTTACACCACAAGTACCACTGATAGTGTTGAGTGAGTGAAAGATACTTATCTATACGAGCTGTACAAATAAGTCGCTCAAAAGCCAGTAAATCCTAACTATTCAACCGATTTTCATCAAATTTTGCCTGGTCCCGTAGCCCCATTGTGTGTACTACTACCTGATATACCAGCATTTATGTGGGAAACATGGACAGTGGAAGTGGAATGACTGGGCATTACGGCCGGGACGGAAGCGGACAGGTTAGGACGTGTGGGCCGACGTGTGTTGTCAGTGTCATGCCCGCTAGACCCAGTTTGAAGTATGGCCAAGAATGATGCTGTTTTTACGCTGCTGACGACTTTCCTGCTTCGAAGTTTCCTCAGTGGGATAAGAGTCAGGAAATTCGTCTTCAAACCATTCGCTTTTTACTTCAAAAACATCAAAGATGCTGCCGAGTTAGAAATCGCCGATGTCTGACATGTTTGTTTACAAACAAACGGGTCAACGAGTTCATTGTATTCATACGTGGTGAATCTGTCACTTTAATTAGCGGTCCTTAAACTGCCATTCAAGTACGGTTTTGATGAGCTCTCAGCCAATGAGAATCGAGTTTCGCACAATGTTGTGCTAGAATTATCAATATTGCTTTTTCTAGGTGTTCGTGATATACACTTTTGCTTATTAGTTAAATATGGAAAGACTTTTGTTAGTGAAGTAAGAATTTATAAATAATGAAATTTGATGAAAACTATGATCAAGGTATTGTTTGTCTTTGTATTATCCACACATTACCACCCCATATGAGAATACCATTGGAACTTTTACAAATCCCCTTAATATCATACCCGTACCATGATACTGGTGAACTATTCGTACCTGTAGCGTTTAATCCTAGTCATTCACTTATTGCCATTAGCTAGTCAAGTACTAGACATTTGTGGGAGAATCACTGAAAATCAGTCGCAACAATTGATTTTTTATGCCTCACTTATCGTCAAAATGTTGCTCCATTGACCGCTCGGATTATCCATACACTGCCACCTGGATCCATTGTCTATGGTGGAGTTGATCCTGAGAGTCACATTGTGTTGTGTGGCATTACAGCTCACATTGACCCGACCTGACAGATACGTGTTGAAGGCGTCAGGGTTGGATACACTGGGACTGAAGAAACCTTGTGTTGTGGTGAGGACTAATGTATGATCTCTGTTCCATAGTCTATCTTGTCCACTAGTTGTGTTACTGCTGCAGATTAGGGTAAAGATTTCTCCGTCTCTTGCCGTCATGGGGGAACTTGTCAGCACTAAAGAACCTGATAATATAGACAAACAGAACAAGTTCACAATTAAACACCAGTCATATAAGTTTCTCTCATCTATCTATCTATCTATCTGTCTGTCTGTCTGTCTGTCTGTCTGTCTGTTTGTCTGTCTGTCTGTCTGTCTGTCTGTCTGTCTTTTAGGTAGGTAAGCAGGTAGGTATTACTTACTTTCGTACTTACTGTAGTGTGAAATATGATAAACTTGCCATCCCATCAATATAATCACACTCAATTATAGATTTGCTACTGATGTCACTTGCCAGGTGACAGCTGTTCTGGGTCTTACACATGTTTGGGTAAAATAATATGATGCGTCTTTTTATTTTGATTGAATACAATCTCTGCGCGTATGTTTCCACTTCAAATGTTTTTCAATTGTAACCTTTGGAAAGGCAAGAAAAGTGCATTACTCAGTTTAATTTTTACAAGTGGGCCCACCCGAAAAATCGCTAAACATTTTTTTAGTGGTCCCACATTTCTGTCTACTTTGATACGTACGGTTGTGCTGGAGAAGTCGTTTTTCTCTTTTGCATAATTAGTGTCACCATATTTTTAAATGCTTAAATTTGTAGTAATATTCATTTTAAAAAATTGTGGTCCCACTCACAAAAGTCTCTGATAACGGGCTCACGTTTCTGTTATGTATACAGTTTGGTGGCTGATATCGTATGAAGTAAACGCTGTATATATACAAACAAAGCAAATGAGATTGCCCACTTTTCCTGACTCTCATATCGGTTACTTCAACATCAGATGATACTCATGGATTCGATAATATTCCAGTAAAATGAGAGCCCACGTCCGACACCCTCTAACAACCAGCTACAGTCTGTTAGGGTCAAAATTATACCGATGAATCACAATCTAACTCCAAATGAGTTCATGATCAAAAATAAATTTCAACGCAGAATGTAATGAATACATCAGACCAATTCTGGAAAAAAGTGTCTCCAAAGTAAAAAAAAGTTACTTAACAAACAATCATCATTTTGTTTTGATTTTCCGAGTGAAGTTTTACAAGGGTAACGTAACAGTAGCACCTATCTAGTACCGAGAGACATGGCTGCTGTCCACATTGGTTTGAGGATATATTTCCAGGAAAGTGCACACTGTACTATTAGCACCAGTGGTGCTCCTGGTCACATTTGGTCTGAAAATAATCGTAATGTAATCACAGTTTTAGGAAGATGAAAGGGTACTGTTATTCCATTACACAAATACCCACCTGCCTCATTTAAGCAGCCGCCGAGAAACCCAAATAGCAGTAGAAGAATCCGACACATGACGGTACACACCTCGAGTTGTCAATATTACATGGAAATACACGCCTCTTGCGTATCCATCTATCCATGCAGGTAGAATACTTCAGCGTCGCTCTTCTCCGATACATCCATTACAAGTATCACACGTACAGCTTGTTGTACACCACAAAACTCTATCCGTGGAGCAAGGTAAGCCAGGGTATGTACAGGTCGCAATCTCTCTACACAGTGACCACCGAGGCAGTTTTGAGTCCCTTGTAACACCAGGGTCGCTAATCAGCACCAGGATATATTTACCAATCTACCCAAGTGCATGTATCTCAAACCAGGAAGTTGTTGAGTACAGCTATAGCCCGAGTCACGAGCTGCAGTTGAAGGACAAACACAACAGGTATGCTGCTCACACTGCATGTATGTTTACACGCCTGTAATTGCATCTGACGAAGTGACAAGGATATGTTTACCGTGCATGTAACCCAAGTCATACAAATCCACTTGAACCTTAGCGTGTATCGTCAATGTCAATTCTGTCCTAACATGATTTACATGTGTCAATAACCTATAGTAATGATATGACTTTAAGACTTGTCAACATTCAGAAGTCACTTGAGATGATGGCCGATACCCGGTGACGTATCCTTTGACAGTCGTGGAAGAGAATCTGTAAAATGTAACTCTAAAGTACTCAGTGACACTAGTGGTGTAGGTAGGTGGATACGTGCGTGAATTTGAGAATAACTGCTACTGTTAAACACTGCTGCCTACATATACTGATACATATCCCTCCACAACCTCCACCCGTGCTATAGAACATTGTCACTGCGGCATGTGTTCCGTAGCTGGCTTGATCACGAACGGTATGGGTTCACACTCGACAGTATACTTGTAAATAATCGAGTCTGGACCAGGCGAGCAGGTGATCAACATCATGAGCATCGATCTACGTAATTGAGATACGATGTCGTGTTACCGAGTCAACGTGCCTGACCACCCGAACTCGTCATTTGCCTCATACGACAAGCAAGGGTTGCTGAAGAACAATTCTAACCCGGATGTTCACGGATATGGTTGTAGGAAAATATAACATCAAATGGCAACGTCAGTCTCGATTTGTCCCGCAACACAAGAGTGATCGCTATTATTTGTGTGGGTCACTGGAAATCAGTGACGTCATCTTGTCCACCAACGCCTGTCACTCACGCGATGAAAGTAAGTGATTGTTGCCAACGCCGATGGGGAAATTACTTCAACCAACAACAATATTGGAATCCGTAGATCGAAACATGCTGTCGAAGGTTAACCCACACTGGGCGTGTGTGTAATTATAATACCCAAGAGTGTTGTATCTATTTACATTGGGTGGCAATCTGACATTCCGTGCAAATGAGTACCGGGACCTTTAACATAGAGACACAGACATCTCACCACATTCTGACAAGCAGAATACAACTTGTTTCAGCCCTAGCTGAACAAATCCCGCCAGTACTATCGTTATCATGGCATTTAATACAAATCTTTTTTTCGGTATTGTATTGGGTCTGGCATGAAGTTTCTTTAACGTGTTCTACATTGTCAAACGGTATTTTTCAAACTGATACAACTTGTCCACAATACCCTATTATGTGGACACCCGGTGTTATATACAAATTCTGCAAGGGAAAACGTATGCGTAACGTATGTGTACAGTTGGGGGCATGGAGAGACGATCTCAATACATACATTTCACATAAATTGCTCTTTCAGAAGTGATACAGAATCATATGTGATTGAAATAATGAACAACGCAACACGTGGTTGATATAATGAACAACGCTCCACACGATGACGTGCACTCAACCAAGATGCAAGTTTGATTACCCCATTCAATCAGTTCTCGAGGAAGATTTATTTGAAATTCCAACAGGGAAGATCGTATTAGATATGTGTGTTGCCGTGAAGTGTAATCTAATCAACAGCTTGTGTAAGAGTGGGCTCAGACCGACTGTGTGCCTGCTGAGATCACTATAATCAAGAATACTGCAAGCTCTAGGTGCGTGAGGAATGGAGGTGTTATCGACTTGTCGAGTGAATGCGCATGGCCATATTATGAACATATACCAGTACATTAAGTGTTTTGAAAAGGGAATTTACAATTGTGCACATCCTTAAGCTGAATCAACACTCATACACGGATGAAAGTATACATAGTGGGGTATCTCCATAGCCTATTTCAATGTGAATTGTGTGATTTGATTTGATTGGTGTTATTTTACATCGGGTTCCTTAACAGTTGTACATTTGCATTTGAAAACCAATTCCTCATTGAAACAATTATTAGGCAATGGGTACAGTACCATACACTATTGAAAGCAGAGATACAGGATTTCATGTCAAGTCTGTCTTGGGAACAACAGATTCACAAATAAATCCCCCTTGTTCTGTGTACCTGTCAGACGTGCTTGCTGTGGTCTATATATAACTGCAGCTCCCTCGGCGTTACGCAGTACTTTCCTCGACGCTTGAGCGGTGAACAAACCACTTCATATCCCTTTAAACAAGTCTGTCCTCTAACGATTAAAAAAAGATCGTAAACCATTTGACTGAACAAAGGATTTCAGCATATAAGTTATTTATCAGTCCTGTGTGATCAATATTTCAAAAGTAGGGTCGAAGCGGTAGCCAAATGGTTGAAGCGATGTCTTGTTACGCCAAAGTACCAGGTTTGTACCCCAGTGTGGGGTACAATGGGCTAAGAGTGGGGGCATCGGACGGAAATCACGTGGGGCAGGGAAGCACTTTGCACCTGCATAATATGTTCCACAACCCTGAAATGACCTCTCGTTTAATTGCTGAGAAGCGAAATAGTTCAACCCCAGAGATAGCGTTGGTTTTCGTACTGTGCTGAGCCTTGCAGTGACTGGTTTGGTGGGTTGTTTGGCTGACGGACTATGTGATCGGACTAATGTCTCGTTTACTGTGTAATTATGTTTGTGCAGAGAGATGCTTACCGGTCTCCTTGGTTGAACATTAATATATTTTCTCACTTATATTGTTAGAATTGTTAAATATACGCTGTTTAAAATGTAGGGCTGTTCTTTTACTTCTGTTTAGATGTCTGGAGGCATATTACTTTCAGATCTACTTCAGAGAGACGGCCTTACGTATGCAGTGCATCCTTTCGTATCCCGTTGTACATTGATATCGTAATTGAGTGGGAATCTTTGTTTTTTATTCAATGCAGCCCTTAGCATTACTCATGAGATTTGGTTCATCATGAACATAATTCTACGCTGTTGTGGGGGCCATGACATTCATTATCTTAGACAGCCTGCCTTATCTTCAGATAATATTGACGGCCTCTTACAACAAGCACGGTCGCTTCTTGAAACGAGCACTCATAGCTTAAGACCGGTTCCATCCCTGTTGTGTTATTGTTCTGTACTGAGCTGCCCGAGTGAGTCAGTGATAATGTAAATGTGTACATTCTTTTCACTTGTACTTCAACGGTGCTCGTGATGTTCCAAATACATAAAATATATGAACGTCAGACTCAGGAATTTTGAAGTTCACTCGTGATTTGGTCAAACCTACTACAGAACAGAAGTAGCACAATACGGCCGAGATATGATACCCTGATTACATATTGTTCCATTGTATCTGGCAATATTCCAGTATTTCGTGGCAAACTAAAGAAATCGGTTTATGCTAGTGACAGTTAAACGTACGTAGACGAACATGCGACAGGTACTCGTCTCGTATCAAGTCTGAAACAAACCGTTTGTTTGCCTCAGGTTTATTTAAAGCAAACAGTACCCCACTCTCTTGAATATCTTCACGTAACTCCAAAATCATCATATTCTGAGACACCATCAATTATTGTACATATGTTACGAAACAGTTACAATGAAAGTACTGAATATTTTATTAACCATTAATTTTCAAAAGCCTAAATGACATGACAATGTACAGCAGATGATGGCACCGGGATGTAAGTTTTTACAAAGAGAATGATTATTCTAATTTGATGCAAGTGTTCAAACACAAACTGACGGGCGAAAAAAATATGCACACATCTTTGATAGAGGCTATAAATGGAACAAACAAGAAAACATCTTAGTATGATAATATGTTTGATACAGGAACGAGTTGAACGTGAACCGATGACTGATAAAGTCCAGTTATTATTCCGCTTTGATAGTTTGTAATTGTTTTGGTAAAATCAAATTATGAGATCTGTACTCATTTGTACATTACCTGAAAGACCTGTGTACGCTAGATTATATTTCTGTGAACACGTCGGCCTGCACATACGTACAGTAACGTCACCACCTGACAAACAAACAGCTGTCAACATCGTTCACAATGTTGAAGCATGACTTTACAGATAACAAAGGAAGCAGGCAGTGTTTTCAATACACATAAAATATCAAGTTCTGTTGAGCAATTCATACTGACAACGTTTTGTAATTGTGCAAAACCGGTAATACGGGTGAAACAATGACGGCATAAATTGTTACTCTCTCACAATTATTGTCACAAAGCGATGTATGGAAAGAAAGTAATTATGTGACGGACACATATTCGTCCTATCGTCTGTGTATCAGTAGGTTCCTTAAACACTTAGGCTTGGATTTTATTTTCACTCAGCATTGTACTTTTTCCTTCTGATTGACTATTTGGCATCATTTGTTCCACTGTTTGTTCAGAGGACCATGCCAACGTGTTGCGACATCACGGCATTCTCGAAACAACTGATGATGACTTCAGATAACCCGTAACTCCAGGAAACTTGTAGGTTCTGCCCCAACTGGTCCATTTTGAGGTTGGCTACATCCTCCCATCAGAATCATCCCCGGTAAATCTCGACCGTAGGACAGCTTCTGGTAAAAAATACATAATAAGGTATATTATGTTCGATAAACCGTCGTAGCTAGACCGACTTCGAACTCTACGTCCATATTTATGCGTTATTTGCTCATGCTATCAACCACTAGTTTGTCTGGTCAAGAGTTTAGTTTGTAAAGACACCAGTGATATGACTGGTCAGCGGCGGCATATGCAGAATAATGTGATGATCCAGTCAAAGACGATAGTATCATTATGACACCACAGACAAATTATATACATAACCTATTAAGTACAATTACATTCCAGCAAAGGCTTTGACAGCAAAATTTGATTAAAGGGAGACAACTTTCTACCAATTGTCTCAAAGTCGGACCAGAATAGATCAACATCAATAAGACAACGTCATCACACGGGAGTACTCCGCTAGGTTTCCTTCAGAATCTGGGCCGGTGGTGTAGCCCGGTGGTCAACGCGTTCACTTGTCACGTCGAATACCTGGGTTCGATTC